TCATAAATATTTTATATGAATTTTACCACAATTGTCATTCGTAGTTCGAGATTAACGAGAAATAAGTGCAATTAATTATTATTATTATTATTATTCGATCGTGTTGTTATTAAGAGGATGCCTATTAAGCTTATTAAGCTTATTGCTTGGCCTAAACGTGTACATTTTTTTTTTTTTTTTTTTTTTCTAAGATATATCGATATTTCGTTTCCTCGTTACCTCGTGATTAAATTTTTTTTTGATTAAAATGAAGCGAAGATCAAATCGAAAAATGAATCGATCTCGATGAATTAATTTTTTTTTTTTCTTTCTAAAAAAAAAAAAGTATTTCTTAGATGTTTTATTTGAAAAAAAAAAAAAAAAAAGAAAGAAAAAAGAACTAGAGAGAGAAATATATATATATATATATATTTACGTTAATCGTAATTTCGGTTATTTAGTAAATTCTTATAGAGAGAGAAAGAGATATATATATATATATATATATATATATGTGTACCAACGTGCAGTTCATATCTAACTGCGCCTACCTACTGTTTTACATATTTATTAATTTTTTGTTGTCATCATGTGAACGATAAGCGATCTTCAAAGCGGCGCGTGTACAGCTCTTTTGTTAACGATTCGTTATTATTGTCATTAATATGTATAACGCTTGAAATTTTTTTAATAATTTAAAACTCGACCAATAGATAGACGCGAAACAATTTAAATCGTTGCGAGTTAAATGTGTTGCTTTTTAAATTATTTCGAATAATTTCGATCTTTCTTATGAAATTGTGAAATACGATTAATTGATCATCGATCGATCGATCGATCGATCGATCGATCATGGTTGAGAGAGAGATATCGATGATAAAAAAAAAAAGAAAATTTGGATAGAAATTTTACACGTAAAAAGAAAAAAAAGAACGGAAAAAAAAAAAAAAAAAAAAAAAAAAAAAAAGAACCTAGCAATAAATTTTCTAAATTAGGGGATAGGAATTAAGATTACGATTTGAAAGGTTGACGATTTTTGGATCGTTTTCGGATCTTTTTACGTATTATTGCGACTGAAGAAGTGGAAAAAAAAAAAAAAAAAAAGAATTATTATCGAGGGAAATAGTTTTCTTTTTTATCAAAGCGACAAATCGTGTATCCGTCGAAGAATCGGATACAAGAATCGGATCGAATGTATCCAGATTGGAACCATTTTCGAGCAATAATCATTTTCGTACACGATTTACAATTTACAGAATTTCGAGATACGTAAATTTGCTTAAATTTGGTTGATAAAAAAAATTACTCGTCTATTTGCAAACTCTACTATTTAGAAGATAAACGCGAACTCAAAGATGGAAATGGTTAATTGATAATGTTGTGGCGAAGAAGTGGTTGAAATACGATGAATTAAATATTTATATGCGTTATATATATATATGAATTAAATTTTCTGTTTAACTAATTAGTTTGTTAAGTATCGTTGAAGGTAAAGAAGATTTAGCTGTATTTACTGCCTTTTACTTTTGGAATTAATTACCCTAAATATTATTCGTAATATTTTCAAGGCGACTGAAAATCCAAAAATTTGATTCAAATTCGAATTTAATATTCGAATTCTCGATCAAATTTATTCATTATTCATCTTCCTTTAAAAGCTTTTAGCTGAATATTCTTAAAAAAAAAAAAAAAAAAAAAAAAAAAAAAGAGAGAGCGAGAAGAAAAATGTTCTTAAATTATTCGTTGAATATAATTTAAACTTATGCAATTCCAATTAAACGTGTAAATTAAATTGAAATACCATAACCATTTCCATCCATCCATTTTTTTTTTTTTTTTTTTGATCCTCGATGATCATATATACATACATATATATATAGTGTATATTGATTCAATTTCGAAATAATACGAATATTTTTTTTCCACAAATAGTTGTAAAAATTTATTTTTCAGTTTTTTTCAAAAACTTAATTATCGATTTCGATGTGCATTTTTTTTTTTTCGGAAGCAACGTTCGCGAGAAAAAAAGAAAAAAAAAAAAGAAAAAAGAAAAAGAAGAAAAGAACTAACAGTTACTTTTTTGTATTGTTAGAGTTCTAATTGTTGTACTTCTTGATTAGTTATTTTTTATAAAGCGAAATAATTTGTAAATAAAATAATAATAATAATAGTAATAATAATAATAACAACAACAACAACAACAACATTAATAATAACGATAATTCGTAAGATTCGAGGAGGAATAACAAGGGAGTAATAATTAGAAGTAATAAAAGAAAAAAAAAGAAAACGAAAAGGCGGAAAACTTTTTTTGTGATGGATGGTTACCCATGATAAAAGGATAATTAACATTAAGTAATCGATCGAGTTACCGTCGTAGGGTAAGGTCGAATTATCGAATTAATTATCCGTTAGGTTAACCGATAAATTAGTCATTGATCAACGAGCTAATTAACTTAGGCCGGATTCATGGAACTTTTACTCTTATAGATAAAGTATAAATAGAGAGAAGTGGCAAGTGATTCGAGAAAAGAAATGTTAGCGCCGTTTTATCATTTTTTTTTTCTTTTTTTTTTTTTTTTTACCTACCTTCCCCCTCCCCCGTGATTTTAAAAAGGAGGGGGGGAGGTGGTTGTATGAAGTGATCGGTATGATTAGTTACCGAAAATATCTCTTCTCTGTTCTTTTATGTGATTATACACATGTTAAATATAAATATAACGCGTAAAGACGTGCCACACCAACCAATTAGTCGACGGATAAAAATAAATGAATAAATAAATAAAACAAATGAATTTCGATTGGGAAACGCGATTTCTATCAGGCTGAAATCACATGAGGGGAGAATAGTAAATTTTAATCGATCGATCATTCTGCGTCGAGACCACCGAAACAATCGAATGAAATTCGAACGAAAATCGATCGAATAATTATAATTGAAAGTAAAAGTGAAGAAAAAAAAAAAAAAAAAAAAAAAAAAAAAAAAGAAAAAAAAAAAGGAAAAGTTTGAATAGTTTAGAAATTGAATTAAACGAATTTTAAATGATCCGCGAGAAAAGAACGAGAGCGAGAGAGAGGGAGAGAATGTTGGGAAAGATAAAGCAAAAGTGAGAAAAGAAAAACGTGCGATCGCGTATGAAAGCGAAAAAACGGGGAAAGAAGGTGTGTGTGCGCCGAGCGTTTGATTGAAAGAAAAATAGTAAAAAAAAAAAAAATTTATAAAGATATACGAATAATCTAGATACCAGATAACGAGATGACATACTCCATGCCTTACATAGAATTATCTAAGCCTAAGTAGATGTATCTAATTAGCCGTATTAATTGAGAAATAAATTATTACAAAATTACGTGGTGGTCAACAAAGAATCGAGAAATCGAACGTATGCACAAATCGAGTTTTGCGAGTAGATCTTTGAAATGATTTGATTCGATATCTGATTCAACTGTCGCAACGAATTACGTTGTAAATATATTTCCTTTTTGTTTCTTTCTTTTTCTCTTCTAGAATATGAAAATGATATATAAGAAAGAAGAATTCTGTGATTATATTTGTAAAAAAAAAGAAACGTTGATATTATCGATTTAGTTGTGTATGTGTTTTTATTTCAAAGAAAAAAAAAAAAAAAAGAAAAAAAAAAAGAAACATTTATTTAGTATATTTAAAATATGAAACATAGAAGAAATTAAAGTGGAAAGTGGTTGTGATAACTTGTTTGATCGTTTGGAGAGATATTTTCATCGACGATTAATCGTAAACAAAGTGCACGATAGTTACGAATATTTATATGTATATATATATCTTATATATATATATATGTATGGGTATCTTTAGATTTCAATTGTTACTTATTAAATGTTGTCGATGAAAAATTTCGATAAACGAAGTGAATTAGTTAAAGTAGCCGCTAGGTTCGTTGTTGACCAAGCTTTTTTCTTAATCGACTTACATCCCTAATTAGAGTGGAAAATGGCGCTGATTAAGTAGAAATTATCTTCAATTTTCGAATCGAAAGAGTTAGAGCGGAAAAGAAAAGAAAGATAAATATAGTTGGCAATAAAAATTAATAAATTTGTCGAACGGTTATAATTAAAAAAAGAAAAAAAAAAAGATAAATTAAATAATTTACTGAAACTGTAAATTAATAACTAATTGCGAATTCAAGTGATATGTTGATAAATATGTATATTCCTTAACGATGATTTATTTCCCCAAAGAAAGATTTCATACATAGTTACCGTGTGATAAAGCAGATAGAAAAATAACAAATATTTATTAATCGTAACATTGTTTATTTATACAAAGGAAATATTATTAAAAATCCTATTCTTTATTCGTTTTAATTTATTTCTTTATTGTATAATTAAATTTATTAGTCATCCGATAACAACTTAATCGCGATATTATATATGCAAATGCGATTGTGATTCAGAGACAAGTCACTAGTACGGGGGATAACGGTTGAAAGAAACGAATGTTTTTTTGTTTTTTTTTTATTTATTCCAAGATAAATATAGAATAATAAAATAATTTTAATTATGAACAAATGTTTTTATTGTCTATTATATATGATAATAGTAACGAGCAAGTGAAAATTATCCAAGATTCAATTTTTGTCTTTTAACAAATTTTTTTCTTAACAAGAATACAATGATTTGATTAACATCGAAGGTATAAATTAGGATAATACTATTGTTCGTTTCTATCGATAAGAATAATATTATTAAGCGAAGAATACGTAGACATTCTGGAAATGGTTGTTGTTCACTCGCGCGTATGTGTATGACGCATCCATATTTGTCAGCGTTTCTTAACCTCCAATAGAAAAGATTAAATTTTTTTTTTTTATTTATGCGTTAAGTTTCTCTCTCTTTTATTTAAATCATTGGTTAAGAAACGTTGAATCAATTCCTCGATATTATTGTTTTCTTCTAAATCTGAAGAAATTGGACGAATCGAGCTTATAATTTTGAATTTAAAAGAATTCGTCGTAGAAAAAAGTATAAAAAGTTTCAGAATGGAAGAAAGATTTTAATCAATCGAGAAAATTATTAATTATCGGTTTGTCCAATTATCTTTCTCGATTTTGATTTAATTTAAAACAGATTGTTATCATCCAATAAAAAATGAGTAATTATCGAGGAATTGTGCGAGGAATGAGTGAATAGAATCAACCGTCAGTATTGCAAAATATTTTTTGGCACGTATCATTTTCACAATAATAATAATAATAATAATAATAATAATAATAATAATAATAATTATAATAATTATAATAAT